CACCTAGAGAACCTTTCAACCTGCTCTCTTGATCTCTTTGTTCTGTTCCCCCTCCCTCCTTATAAAAAACCTCTGCCCCTGCTGAGAGGGGGAGATGGGCTTTGAGACGTGAGTCCCCATCTTCCAGGGGGCCAGCAGGTGAAAATAAACCACTTTCCTTTACACCTGCGTCTCCAGTGTTGGCTTTGGTAGCGGCAGGCAGTCGGACCTGCGTTCGGTGACAGATACAGATAATTAGTCTATCCCTCTGGATATCCTTAGGGGGCCCCTAGTGGCGCGAGGACTAGCCCATTCTACTCCCTCATCCTTCCCCCCAAATCTCTGGAGAAACTAGACTATTTGAGAGTTCCTTCTTCCTGGGGAGTCCTATTGGTCCCGCTTCATCTGGAGCCCAGGGAGACTGTCTTTTCCTCCCCCCTTGGGGCACCTAAAAGAGAAGGTGACTCAGGGAGCAGGGGCATAAGTGGGTAGGTGACTCATGCAGAGTGTCTGGAGGGGGAATGTGGTCTGGCGAGAGGAAGGACTGCTTCTCAGCATCCTGAGCTTGGAAACTATTCCCTGGAGGTCCCTGAAACCCAAGCCTGGGCCTAAGGCTCCTGGGGTGAGGCTGGTGATGGGGGCTGTGAGCTCCTGGCCCGCTGCACCTCCCAAAGCAGGCCTCTGAGCTGCCAGTGCAGCCAAAGGAAAGTCCTCGCTGGCTGGGGAGCCGTCCCATGGCTTCTCCGCTTAGGGGAGCAACTGGGTCCCAATTCCTGCCTCCAAATCTCTCCCAGAGCCCTCAGGGTCACTGCCAATCCTGGGGCAGCTAAATGGAGCTGGGAATCTCAGGGAAGGACCCTCTTGATGGTTGGGCAACTAGCATACAAGAAATCAGGACTTGCAATCTCCTTGGGCAAGCAGAGCGGGGGGCGGGGGGGTCTTGCTGTAACCAGCTCCCAGCACACACACAAAGACCAGCTCGCACCCTGCCCATTGCTCCGGCCTCGCCCAGGAGACCCAGGAACCTCTCTGGGGTATCAGGGGTCTGAATGTTGCCCTTTCTGCCACAGTAACCGTAATTCTGACAACAGCAGCAAAAGGGGACCTCAAATGAAGTGGCCTGACGGTCCTGAGAGAGTGCAGGTGAACCAGGGGAGTTGATTGGGCTTTCACTGGTCCTCCCTAAGAGGAGGAGGAGGAAGAGGAGGAGGGAGCTGAAGAGGATCAAGTGAGCCAGGCGAGTAAGCAGGCACACCGGGTGCACCGAGGGGGAGTACACGCAGCCTCGGAGACTTAGCGGGCCTGCTTCTAGGCCACCGCAATGAACTGACCACCACAACAGAGCGAACTTTTTGGTTTCCCAGTGCCTGTAACAGTTTTGTTTACACTACACTGTAGTCTATTAAGTGTTGTCTCTAAATAACATACATATCTTAATTAAAAATACTTTAATGCTAAAAAATGCCAACCATCATCCAAGTCTGTTGGAAAAATGGCACTGATGACTTGCTTGACACAGGGTTGTCACAAACTTTCAATGTGGAAAGAACGCAGCATCTGCAAAGCACAGTAAAAGGAGGGAGGCCTGGGAAGCCAGCGGCCATTGTCACCTCCAACACCCGGGGGCCAGGGATCCAAGGGGGCAACAGGCAAGGCCTAGGGGGAGACATGGGGACAAGAGCCTGGGGACCTGAGGCTCGAGGATGTGGCGGTGGGGTCTCAAGGAGTCAGGATGGAGGGAGGCAGAGCTGCCCCAGTCACACCCAGGAGGGAGGCCTGATCTGACCCTGAGTCTTGGCCTTGTCAGGCCCTTGGGCTCTCTCAGCCACCCCCAGGCCTGGCCTAGCTCCCCACCAGCCTCACTTCACCCTGGTGGAGAGCTTTCTCCAGAACCCTTGTTTGAAGTTCCAACTCAACGGCCCCACCCTAGCATGAAATCTGAGACTGGGGATAAAGCCCTCAGCCTCCTGCTGCTCTGAAAAAATCACTCCCAGCTTCCAACTAGTAGTGAAATAGATCAGATTGACTTCCCAGCCATCTTTTTAGGCCTTGCCCCTGCCTGCCTCCTCCATGAAGCCCCCCAAACTTTCTAGCCTGCTGTGATCACTGTTCCTCCACCACCACCTTGGGGGCTGCCTTGAGCCTTTGGGGCCTTTCCCCTCGAAGGTGGCACGTATGAATCCCGGTTCGTGCTGCTGGCTACTTCCCCATGTGTTGTCCCCTCCTGGACTGTAAGCTCCCTGAGGGCAGGGGCCATGCCTTACACGTCTCTGTACCTCCCACAACATCAAGCCCAGGGCCTACACATATTAGATCAGTGGAAGGAATAAATGACACAAAGACAGGGTCCAGAAGGCACTCTTTTCCTGAACCCGAGTCCGTGCTCTGAGAAAAGTGAAGTGAGGGTGTGAGGCAGAGGAAACGGGGGTAGACAGCTAACATTTCTTTGGTGCTCGTTTATTATTTATTTGGTGTGTGCTAAGCACTCATCAGTGTTTTCTACACATTCTCACTTTAACCCTTACCATCCCCTCAGTGGAAAGGTGTGTTATCAGTCCACTTTACAGGTGAGAAAAGCGGAGGTCACAGACGCTAGTTAACCTTCCGACGGTGGTACAGCCAGTGAGTTGTGGGTCGGGACTGACAGCCTGCAAAGCCCATGCTCTGTCCACCCAGCCTCATGCCCACCCCAAGCCCAGTGAGTAAGATGACAGCTAACTCCGTGGTTTAGCCACAGCCCAGCAGGGGTGGAGAAAGAAGGGCAGAGGGATTTGGTTTCTCCTCCTCCTCCAAGAAAGGGCTCCTATTCTGCAGTTCGCTGTGATCCATCCACCCAAAGAGGGGTTTCCGGGGGGTCAGGGTTCCAGCAGCCTGCCCCCCAACCCCTTGTGCCATACACAGGCTCTCCTAGGAGCCTAGGAGCCGTGCCCCTGCCTCTGGCTATTTGGGGACAGGCTGAAGTCAGAGGCAGGAAGTTGAGGACAGGTTCTGCTATCCTGTGCCCTGTGTGTTCTCCTCCCAGGCTGCCTGTTCAGGGTCATGGGATCAAGCAAACAGCCGGAGTGCCTGGCCATCTGGTCAGTTCAGGGGCAGGACCCCCCTGGGCCTAGCAGGAGTGAAGGGGTTACACAGGGTCTTCATGTGTAAAGAACACACACACACTCTGCAGGCCTTGACCTCTGCTAATAACCCTCCGGTGCCTGTGGACTGAGAGAGCTGATACACCGGTCTGAGTTCTCTGTGTTTTCCCCTCTTCCCCCAGCTTGGCCTTGGTGGGAGCCCCTGGCCCACAAGGGCAGAGATGAGTCCCCCTCCTGCACTGGCTTCTCTGACTTTGACAGCTGTCTCCTCAGCGTCCTAGAAAGCGGCTGCGCTGGTGGGGACCATGAGACACCCAGGGCGTGTGATCTCAGAGGACCCCTGGAAAAACTTTTCTTCCGCTTGCGTTGCGGGGGAGGCCTCCGGAGACCTGCTCCTTGGAGATGCGGGCCACCCCGTACCCAGGAGACAGATGTGCAGACCCGGGCAGCCCAGATACACACGCTGGAAAACACCAGCGTCTGGAGCCAGACACTAGGGAGAAGAAGGGGAAGGCTCGCGCTCTCTCCTTGCCTGTCTCTCTCTCCCTCCCTCTCTCAGGGGAGTTTTCCCAGAAAAGTTTCCTGAAGGAGGAAAAGCCTCCTTGGCCGCAGGTTCCTCTCGGGACCCAGGGAGCTTACCCCCAGGAATCCTCTGGGAAGACAGGAGGCAGAGGCTTCCACAAGCAGCGCAAAAGTTCAGTCCTAAAAGTCCCCCAAACTTCCCCTCCCTCTTTCCCTCCTTCTTTTGTTCCCCACAGCATTGCCAACCAGGCAGCTCCCGGCTTCCCACACCGGACCGTCCTCCCCCACCCGAACCCCGGCCGCTCGCGCCTCCCGCCCGGCCCGCCCGCGCCAGCACTCGCGCCCCGCAGGCCGCGGGGAGGGGGCGCTTACCCGCCTTGCAGGGGTCTTTGTAGTTGAGGGGCTCCGAGTCGTCCTCCTCGCCCAGGTCGTAGGTGTAGTCGGCCAAGTCCAGAGGGCGCCCGGGGCGCGGGAGCAGCAGCAGCCCGAGCAGCAGCGGCAGCGGCAGGCGGGCCACGCCGGGCATGCTGGCGGCGGCGGGCGCGCGGGCGACGGCGGGCGCGCTGGCGGCGGCGGCTGCGGCGGCGGGTCGCGCCCGGACGCGGGAGCGGGCGAGGGGAAGCGGAGCGCCAAAGGCGAGGGGGCGGCGCTCCCTCCCCGCCTGCCGCTCCCCCCCGCGCTCCCCACCTCTCTCCTTCCCTGCGCCCGCCGCCCTCCTTCCTGTCCCCCGCCCCTCGGCCGCCCGCTCCCGGCTCGCTCCCTTTCCTTCTTTTTCTCCTTCCTTCTCTCCCTCCCTCCCTCCCTCCTTCGCCCCCCCCTTCAGGGAAATGAGCTCGCTGGGGGGCGGGTTTTCGCCGGGAGTTCGGCCCCCTCGGGGTCGGGATCGCGATCGGCCGGCCCCGGCCGCGCGCCAGCTGAGGCGGGGAAGGCGAACACCCGGCCCGCACTGGGAAGGGGCTTGGGCGGCCGGGGCGCGGGACGCGGGCTGGGGAAGGGTGCGCGCCCCGGGATGCCGCCCCCGCCAGCCGCCCTCTAGCGGCGCCTCTCCCGCGCGCGCCCCGCCCGAGCTCCCCACGGTGCGGGACACGTAGTCAGGTCGCTCGCACCGCCTCTTGCTCGCTTCGTTCCTAGGTCCCTGCCCTTGCTTCTCAGCCTGCGTCCCTCGGTCTCTCCCTTTCTCGCTCTCTCACACCTCGGTCCCTGTCCTGGAGTTCTGTCTGCCTCTCGCCCTCCCTCGGGAGACACCACTGGAGGGCGCCTAGAGCCCGTAGATCGCTCCCAGATCCCCACTTCCACCAGCACCCTGGGACGGGGAGAACGGGAAAGCCCCCTTTGCTCCCCAGGGCCCTGCCCTTCCCCTCGCCTGCCCCCACCAAGAGCAGGACCGAGGGTGTCTGGGAGGAGAAAAGGGGGACACCCTTTGTTTTTCAGTCAGGCTGCTTTATTGTTTTGTGATGGGGCCCCCCTGGCCCCTAGGGGCCACCTCTCCTCTACTGGCTCCCACCTCTCCCCACAGCTCCCCTTCTCCAGGGCTGGTCACTATGGGGTGGCAGGCGCAGCTTCCTGTTTGTTTGCCGAAAACCCTTTGCTCAGGGAGCTTTCCGTCCCTTTTAGGCTTCCACAGGTTCTGTGAAGCAAAGAAACACTTTATTTTGTGAGGGAGAGGAACTGGAGGCAGGGGAATGTCTGTGGACCTTCCCTCCCCTGATCTCCCTAGGTGGCGGGCCTCAGTGGCTCCCCCTGGGCCAGGCCAGCTGACAAGGCAAGGTGGCTCAAGCCCTCCTGGGCACTGGTGCCCTGGCGGTTACACCTGCTCACCTGAGGCTCCTAGATGTAGTAGAGGGGCACCTCGCCACACAGAGTGCTCAGGGTGGGACCCAGGAAGCCCAGGCTCCTGGAGGACACTGAGCCGGTATCACGACCCTCCTCCTGGCCCAGCTTCGAGGGAGGCGCTGCAGGCTTGACCTGGAAAGAGCACGTCACCTGGAACCTGGGAACTGAGTTGCTGTCTCACCCACAGCCCTTAATGCAGGACCTCAGGCGTGTCGGTCAACCCCTCTGAGCCTCGGTTTCCTCACCAGTTGACAGGGGCTGTACTGAGGTCAGAAGCCCCCAAGTGGCCGTGGGTTCAGCTGAGACCAGCAGCTTGGTGGTGGGGCGCTGGGGCAGGGCTGGGGAATAGGTGGGGTACGCGTGGCGCAGGTGAGTCTAGAGAGGGGCACTCACCTGGCCGCCCACCAGGAGCAGGGCTTTACAGGTGACACAGAGCCACCGTCTCAAATGCTCCTCCCAGCGGCCCTGGGAGGGAGACAAGCCACTCCTTCTCACGCTCACACCCACCTGGAGGCTCTGCAGTTTCCTAGTGAGAGCCTGAAGGCTGGGGATGCTGTCCGGGGCCATCTTCACGATGTAGCAGCAGGTTCCCACGGCCGGCTTGTAGGCAATCAGGAGCTGGGCACAGGGACCCCCGAGTTCATTCAGGAAGGCCCTGCCTTGCTCGCCCTCTACCCCTTATCCTGAGCCATCTCCCTCTAGGTTGGGCACAGGCAAGAGCCATGTTGAAAGCTGAGGTGCAGGCACATCCACGGGAGGCAGAAGGGCAGGGGAATGAGGAGAGATGCATGTGTAGGGAGTGGCACAGCCGAGGGGTCTAGGAGAATCTGGTCATTGGTCCCCCAGGCCCCAGGTCAGGAGTCCAGGCGTACCCACCCGCTGGTAGTCATACGCGGCGATGCCGGTGGAGCCGATGGGGAAGGTGGCTGTGGTGCCCGCACGCTCGCTCAGGGCCACGCGTTGCTGGGCTTCTGGCCCCGCAATGCTCATCTCTAGGACCTGGGGGAGGGCACAGTGCTGCCTGGCATTGCTCTCCCCACCTGTCCCTTCGGTGCCCATGCCCACCCTCCATCGTTTGTACTTAAATGCACTCAAATGTCCCTTCTTCCCTGAGAGCTCAGAGAGGCTGAGTGGAACCAGGTGCTGGAGGGAGCAGGCTGTCCGCTGTGGGGCGGGGCAGGGGCCTGGTGGAAAAGCCCAGGCCAGGTTTGCCACCTTGCCCCTGCCTCTCTCCTTCCACGAGGTGCCCCTTGCCGCCTCCTCTCCTTCCTCCTGGGCAGTTCGCTATCTGCCCAGCGCCCCCAGCCGGCCTCCCTAACAGGTCCTGCACCCGCTGCCCGCCCTGCCCAGGCCTGCTCACCATCTCAGTGTGTTTCTGGCTCATGTGAAGACCCATAAGCAGGGCCCCTACAATCACCACCACGACGAGGACCACCACCACGACCACGATGAGAAGGCGTTTGAGGTGCACAGGGCAGCACGGGATGCCGAACCGGCCCCGGGGCGCTGCTGAGTAGTCCTGATGTGGTGGGACAGAGAGGGGACAGGTGGGCAGTCATGAGGGCGCCCCCTCTCCTCCCTGCACACCCACACCCTCCCAGGGCTGGGCAGCAAATGCTGTGGACGTGCAGAGGAGGGATAAGATCAGAGGAGGCTTCCTGGAAGAGGTGCCTTGAATCCCAACAGACTCAGAGATGGCTAGAAGTGAGGTCCGGCTTGGAGAGACCCAGAAGAGCCTGTTTCACCAGTAACACCCCCTGCCGTTTCCTCCAGACCCCTGGCTCCCCAGCCATGCCCAGTCCCTCTCCGTACCTCAGGTGGTCCGCGCTCTGTCACATCTCCGCGCCTTTACACCTACCACCCTCCTCCCTGCAGTGCCCCCCTTCTCCACCCAGCAGCTCCTGCTTCCACTTCCGGAGCCAGCTCAAATGTCATTTTCTCTGTGGCGCTTCCTGTGAGCTCCCAGGTAATGGCTCCCTACTCCGTGTCGTCTTCAGCTCTTTCCGCCGACCTCTGAGGCCGTGCTCAGCCCTTGCGCTGGAATCATTGGGGGCCACGCCTCTCCCCCCGAGGGACTCTGTCTTAGCGGTGGATGTCTCTGCCCTAACTCGGCGCCGTTCTAGGTTGGTTGGGTGAATGCATTTGGATGAGGAGACCGGTCAGAGGAGACAGGGCCCACCACCCATGTGCGTGCGCGCTCATACCACACACACAATCGCACTCACCGGCGGGCTCTCCATCAAGACCTCTTTGCTGCCCACGTCCATCTTGCTGCACGCACCTTTCCCTCCTCAACTGCTAATGTGACTAGGGCCTTATATGTGGCAGTAGGCAGAGGGGACAGAGGTGAAGGACCCGGCCCCCATCTGCCAGCTAGCCCTTGGCTTTGAAGCCTGTTTGTTCCTGGCTCTCAAGAACCGAGGCCCTGATAAGCCAGCTGCAAGAGCGCCTAAGGGCCCTTGGGCCTGACACAGGAGTCCTCTTGGCCCCCGCAAGGGCAAAGCTGGGTGAGCTGAGCAAACTTGCCCTTGGGCAATCAATCGGTGCCTCTCCTCATGGTGTCTTCCTGGCGTGCCCGCCTCTCTTGCTGGCACCTGCCCCTGCGGTCCTGTGGCTTTTCTTGTTCTTCTGCCAGGCCAAACCTCTCAGGAAGCCAAGAGCCGGACCCCGTGGGGAGTCCATCACTTTTCCAGACAGAATGTCCCCTCAGCATAGGAATGAGCCCCAGGAAGGGGAGGGAGGAGAGAGTACCTGAGGACCCAGAGAGGGCGCTGCTGAGGCACGGCGGGGGGCTCAACCTGGGAGGGGCAGGTTTCATTTCTAATACCCCACCCGCCCCACCCGCTGTCTCCCAGGCTTCCCTCCTAACCACAGACTTGCCCCCTGCCGTCCTCTTCAGATGCCGAAAGCTCTGTCCCCTCTGGTTACCGATTCCTATTTACCAAGGGGAGGTTTTTCATTCTTTGCTACAGGTTAGTTTGAAACTTGAAGGCTTTTTTCCCCTGCTTTGATTTAATTTGCATTTATTTGATGCTGAATTTATTCCTGGGCCTTATGTTTTTGGTTCTTCGGTTTCTTCTGGGATGTTTGTTGTTGTTGTTTTTGTTTTTCTGGGCAATGTCCTCTTCTGGTTTAGGAACAATCTGTTCTTTTTCCGGAAGGATCAGCTCCGTGTGTCGGGGGAGCTCACGTGAGGGGTCATCTGCCCAGGAGCTCTGTAAGTTTTATGCCCCGTCTCAGGGCCTTGTTCACCTGGATGCGTTCCATGACCGGAGAGGCTGCACCCAAACCCTTCAGTTCAGCCACCTCTGCATTTTGAAGGGTGTGCAGCATCCACTCAGCGCTGCCTTTGGGCCACCTCTCTGTGTCCAGCCCCACTGTCTGGCCCGGTCACACCGACCAGCTCCACCATCGTGAGGACAGAATGGCCCACGTGCTTCTGTCAACTAACGTCCTTCAGATACTTGGTTGCTTCTGGATATTCATACCCTTGGTGGCATGGGCAGTTTCATGAACATTTTTAAAGTAAACGTGAAGATTGGAGCCTCTTGATTTGCATGATTCTGTGGGGTCTTCTGGGTGAAGTGAACGGCAAACGACTCTCACAGATCAGGCTGAAGCCTTTAATAGCAGACCCCATGCCTGCCGCGGTCTTCCTGCCTCCCAGAGGGCCTCGCAGAGCTGGATGTGGCCAACGAGGGCTCCCACCCATTGTCCGCGACTCAGCCCACTTGCCAGGTGCTACCCTCGCCCTCGTCCCAGTGCGCCTCCTTTTATTCCCTCTAATCCTAAATCCGCCCTGAGAACACTTCTCACCCGAACAGGATCCACTCCGTGGGCCTCCTCTCCCCTCTCTCTCTTCCTCCTCTTTCCCCAAAGCCACCTCTGTGGCTCCATCGTGATAATGGCGGCACCCTTCCCACAGGTTGCCCTCTGCTTGCGGGGGCCGGGGACACGCTCTCCGGCGCCTTCGCCTCTGAGTTTTTTCATGAGCGTCTAAGTCCCCGCACCTTGCTCCTCCCTTGGTCTCACTCCCTTATCTTCCTTATCATGTAACTCCAACACTTCGCCCCAATTTCTGTCACCTGGGGGCTCCCTCACACCTTGGCCCTTTAATCGGGAGGGGACCCCCAACTCTCCAGCCCTGGCAGGTTCCCCCTCCCCACAAGAGCCCCCTCGGCCCCTGGAGCGCTTTCGGCCTCCGGGTTGCACAACAGCATGGCATCTGGGCTGAGAGCCCCTGAGTAGCCGGGGTGGGAGGAAGAGAGAAGGAAGGAAATGTTTGCTCCCACCACCCTTCTCACCCTCCAACCAGCCCTTTAAATATTTGCCTAAGCCTTAGCAGCAAGTGTCCTAGGAGGAGTGAAAGAGGAGGATGGAGGGGCAGGGAGGGGGAGGATCCTCTCAGCTGTGTGCAGGTGCCAGATGCGGGAGACAGCTGCGTGCAGGGCCCACCCCCGGGGCCCCCCGCTGCCACCCCCGGTTGTCCTGGCAACACTGGGAGTCATGGGCTGACTCACCCGTACTGGGCTTATGCCAGGTGGGCGGCAGGCCAGCGGGAGAGCCGGGGATAACTGCAGGCATCTCGGGGTCCCCATGGGCATGTCTGGGGGCCACCCAGTCCAGCTGTGGGGCGCGCCCGGAGCAGGCGCTGGTGTAGGGCTTGCCATCAGGACGTCATGGGGAAATGGGGCTCTTCCTTGGGGAGAAGCCTCTGCTCTTGGGTCTTCGGTCTCCCCTGCAGGCCGCCCTTAGGCTCTGGTTCTCATAAGCCTGTAGTCCTTTTCTTTTCTTCTCTTTTTTCTTTTTCTTTTTTTTTTTTTTTAACCTGTTTCAGCCTCTTGGGAGGTTGGAAAGGAATGACACCCTCCAGTTTCATGGAGGACACTCAGACGCTGGCACAAACCTGGGAGAGGTCTTAGGAACCTTGGAGAAGGAAGGAAGGAGGGACCTTTTACCAGGCATGTGTAGCTGTCCCCTTGCCCCACACCCCAGCCTTCTGGCTGCGGCCTTCTCATCTCGCGGCCTTTACTTAGGCCATTTCTCCTTCTGGGAAAGCCCACCCCCAAAGCCTCTCCAACTCCCTGAATACCACCTACCCTAAAAGGCCAAGCAGGACCCAAGGATGCCCCTGCCGTGACCTCACCGCCCCAGCCCATGGTGCCGCCTTCCTCCTCCAAAACCTCCCGGGCTCCCTGCTGCACGCTCACCTGCCACTTAGCACGCACTGTCGTTTTCATCAGCTCCGTGGGTGCTTTTATCTTCCCAGCCTGGCCGCCAGCCACGTGACCCTCCCTGGGATCAAGCATTTCTGAGGCTTCTTTGTACCTGCTGCGGGGCAAGGAGCATGCACAGGGCCAGTATGTAATTACAGTCAATGATAAGACTGTCATCACCCAACATGAGGGGGGCTGTCATCGCCCGACAGGAGGGAGTCCTCGCAAGAGGTCAATAGTTCATTCCTTCCGTATGTGGAGGTCTCAGAGCGTCACTGGCCGGCTCTGGGACCCCGAGGGATTCATGCTGCCTTTCTAGGCTTTCAAGTGTTAATCTGTGAAATGGGACTGGTACCGCCTGTCCTGGGCCCCCTCCAAGCTGTTGTCACGATTATCATTATCTTCACCTCCCAGGGCACCGCTCTCACTAGCGAAGAGCAGGGCCCAGCGCCCCCTTCCTGTCTGGGTTAGAGCCGCTGAGAACCGTGCTGCGGAGAGCCCCGTGGTAGCCACTCCTCCTGTGTGTGTCTCCTTTTCCCTCCTTCCAGCCCCTCAGCTGCAGGGGTGGGACAGGGCTCACTCTGCTCTTTGTGTCCTGGGCAGAGCCGTGCCAGGGACGAGCGGGGGTGGCTGCCCAGCTGCCCGGCCACCCTCCCACCCCCGTTGCTTGTCCTCCCACGCACTGGCATGGGGGGGGGCAGCTCGGGCAGCCGGACGGGCAGTGGCAAGTGGGCGGCATCAAAGGGTAGGGGCATCCCTGGCATGGACTGAACTCAGACCAGAGAATCCCCTGCTGGCAGAGGCTGGGGACAGCAGGGGAGCATCTTAAATGCAGAGGCCTAGGGTTCTGGGGCCAGTGTGGAAAGGCCACAGGACAGGGAGCCCAGCCGGCTGACTTCCAGCCTCCTCGTGTCCTGTACCTGGGAGCTCTTGGGACAGGCACCCCCGTGATCGCTGCCCCCCCCCGGAGGTGACATGGTATAGAGCAGCTGTTCTCATGGTATAGAGCTTCAACAGTACTGAGGACTCTGAAGAACTTTTCTTTATGTGGGTTATGTGTATCAATAGAATATTTACCATACTGACGCTTACTGAGAAATTCTAAAATATTCATGAATTAAATTAAAATAGCAGCAATGAAGCCATTATATGTTACAACATAACATATTTTTAGTGAAATTAGCTATTTTACAAAGCAAAAAGAAATAGGAAAGTGTCATTGTTTTACATTTTTACAAATTTCTCCCATTTCTGGCCTAATAGAAGGTGCAGCACGTAGCCCCTGGAAAATTCCAGGGCACTCTGTGAGAGGGTGGGAGTGAAAAGGGCCAATGATGTCTTCCCATTAACAGGAAAATGGTGTTGACCTCAAGCAGGGCCTGGAAGGTTCTCGAGGGCCCCTGGGCTTCCTGGGCCGCACTCTGAACAGCCCCCCGTGAGGGAGGAGGGCTGGGGCCCTCGCGGTGGGATGGGTTTAACCCCTGCTCTGTCACTTCCTTTTCCTCGTACTACGGGCCTCCCTTCTCTTATCTGCAAAAGGGACTAATATCATCCATCTCAGAAGGTGGAGAGGTTAAGCAGGTAGAGTCCACAGCACACAGTAGGTGTGATGTCAAGCTTGGCTCCTTTCCTGGGGGTCTGGGCCTCAGCTTCCTCTTTTGTTAAACAAAGGTGGAAGAAAACTTCCAAGCTCTCCCGAGCTCCAGCAGGCTGTGGCTGGGTAGTGAGAGATGTTCCAGGATGCCACACATTCCCGCTCCAGCTCCGGGGACGACTGTCCCCTTTCAGCTTATTCAGACACAAAGGCACATTCTGTTCACGGGCTGTGGAAACATATGAACACAGACACACACACCTGTCAGCAATGGCATGCCCATGAAGCCGTTGAGAGGATGTGTTCCGCGAGCGCCAAGACTTGCGCCCCCAAACCCCAGCAAGGGCACAGAGGCATGTGGCTCCCTCTGCGGACAGGTCTCACAAGGGGATCTGTGCATGTGCCTGCGGAGACAGGTGTGCGCACATGCACACAGCCATGCCATCCCAGGATGCACACGTCACCTCACACACATGCCCTCGCGCACAGACGCTCTGGGTACCAGACGCACAAGCAGATGGCCCAGAAACCGCCAGCGGGGCACGCAACCTAGAGCGGCCCTGGCCGCAACCACTCCCCTCTCTGATACTCCCAGCAGGGGACTCCCCTCCGCCCTGCGCGCCCCCGCCGCGGCAGTCGCGGCCACCCCAGCTCGACAGCGATCCGCTCCTCTCGCTGCGCGCATCCCTCCGAGTCGCTCGCGGGAGCAAGCAGGGCAGGCAAGCGCGGGCGGCGCCAGGGCTGGAGTCCGCTCTCCGCCGCGGGCAGCCAGCCCCTCGCTGCCGCAGCGGCTGCAGGTGGCCCGGAGGTGCCAACCCGCAGCAGGGCAGGGAGCGGCGGGGCGCGGGCGGCCGGGCCCGGAGGCAGAGCTCACAGGCAGCATGGCGGGGCTGCGGACCAGGCGGGGCCCCGGGCTCCCGATGCTGGCGCTGTCAGCCCTGGGCTTCTGCCTGATGCTGCAAGTCAGTGCCAAGAGGCCCCCCAAAACGCCCCCCTGTCCACCCAGCTGCTCCTGCACCAGGGACACGGCCTTCTGCGTGGACTCTAAGGCAGTGCCCAGGAACCTGCCCGCCGAGGTCATCTCTCTGTGAGTGCCCAGCCCTGGCCCTGGGGGAGGTGGCGGGGGCACCAGTCTCCTTCCAGAGGAGGAGGAAGGCAAAGACCACTCTGGAAGCCATGGGAAGAAGCCCGTTCCCCCTCATGGAGGATGGGGACCAGGAGGACTCCAGGGGTCCGCAGGTCCAGAGACTCAATATATCAGCTAGACAGGGAGTTCTGCAGTCATGCAGGCTCAGCAGCCATGGCTGGGAAAACAGCACTTTATGGCTGAGAATGAATCATCACCACCAGCAGCGCCAATGAGACCTACTGTGTGCAGGGCTCTGGACTTGGTGGGGGGGTGTTGCTTATCCCAGCATGTGAGCCCCCTGCCTGTGATGTCACACCAAGGGCAGAAAGGCTTCTTGTGGGGGGGGGAGGCAGTAGGGGGAGGGGTGGGAGTGAGGTGCACCCACACAGCACCCTGGCCTGGGCGCAGATGCCTGCTGCCAGTCTCTCCAGCCGCTCTGCACCCAGCCAGCCAGCCAGTCTCCCTGGCGGCGGCCTCTGGGGACCAGGCAGGCTGTGCGGTTCTAGAGAGCAGGATGCTAGTCCCCACCCCCATCCCAGAGCCCATCCCAGAGGATCATCAAAGTATGGCTAATGGAACCTTCTCTGGGCTGAGGGGGAAGCTGAACCAGGGGCCAGCGGTGCTCAGGGAGGCAGGGGTTGAGGGAGAGCGGTGCAGCTGATGATGAAGGCAGGCAGTGAGGAGGAGCGGAAGACAGCTCCGGGGGGAGGGCAGGCTAGAGACACGGCGTTTCCAGGGCGAGTGAGTGCATCTAGAAGCCATTGCCCTGTCCACCTCACCGACCCGCCGGGGCCGGGGGCGGGTCCTTGCATACGCGCCCCCAGCACTGACTCGATGGTCCCCTGCAGGACGCTGGTGAATGCCGCCTTCTCCGAGGTCCAGGCTGGAGCGTTCTCCCACCTGCCGCTGCTGCAGTTCCTGTATGGAGGGGGCCTTGGAGGGGGGTGGCTTGGCGAGCGGCAGTGGAAGGGGACAGACAGATCCTGGGCGGGGGTGGGGGGGCGGGGGGAGCCCACGTAGGTAGCCTTTGGAGATTAAGATGCAGGTGTCCCGACTTTCGCCCCATGGGATAGGCCACAGAAGGGGGGGGCAGCCTGGAGTCAGGGGGGTGGAAGGAACAGCTGTCGGGGAGAAGGAGGGCAGGGGTCCCATGCCAAAGCCAGGAAGTGGGTATTTGGGGCCCAGCGAGGAATGGACTTGCCCCCTCTAGAGACCCAAAGGAGCTGGGTACAAGTAGCTTGGACTGGTGCCAGAGGTGGGCTCTGCCGGGAAGTGGGGTCGTCTTAGAGACAGGTGGTCCCAGGGTTTGAAGAAAGAGCTCGGGGCCCAAGGGGGGGAGGACCAGAGGGCCTAGAATTCCTAAAGGGGCTGTTTCCATTCGGAGCCCCAGTCACAGGAGAGAGTTCATGCCAGTTACCCCCTCCTTCTCTCCAGCAGCCCCAGGGGCGCTGGCCAGAGGCCGCGGCAGTGGGAGACGGGGCACAGGCGCCGGGGGAAGGACCCGCTTGCAGGGGAGATCTGCCCCACCTGTTTTCACCCCGGAACAAACGTGGACCCTGGGAGGCTCTGGGACCAGGAGGGGCTCCAGCCTGGCCTTGCCACCCGGGCTGCTGCGGGCTCCCCGCTGGGGTCCCGAGGGCGGGCGGCCGGGCAGGCCAGCCTTGAGGAAGCCAGGGGCGAGGCAGCAGGCACGCCCTTGGAATCTCCAATTCTGCCTTTGTCTCTCCAGGTTACTCAACTCCAACAAGTTCACGCTGATCGGAGACAACGCCTTCACAGGGCTGTCGCACCTGCAGTACCTGTGTGTGGGAAGGAGAGGGGAGGGCCCGGGTGGGCTGCGGGGGGAGGCTGAATGAGGAAGGCTGGGAGGTGAGAGCCCCGGGACCCTCTGGCTGCGGGACCGAGTTGGGGAGAGGCCACTTCATCTGTCCCCCCGCCTACGCCATCCCGCCTGGATGCCCTGTCGCCACAGGCTTAGTGTCACCAGATTTGGAATGAAAGCCTGTCTGGGGGCCACGGGCTGGAATCCAGGCATGGAGTAGGGAAACAGGTGAGGGAGAGGGTCCCGTGATCCTGAGTGGGGCTGAGACCACTCCCGTTCCCTCCAGCTTCATAGAGAACAATGACATCTGGGCGCTATCCAAGTTTACTTTCCGAGGACTCAAGTCTTTAACACACCTGTAAGTACCTCCCACGTGTACATTCATCAGCAGAACTAAAGAACCGCCCCGCCGCACCCCACCCACCTCCATCCTTGGCTCCTGTGGCCTTTGGCCTCAGTCATGGTCTTCAGGTGACCCACTGGTCTCTCTTGCAGCTCCCTGGCCAACAATAACCTGCAGACGTTGCCTAGAGACATCTTTCGGCCCCTGGACATCCTGAGTGACTTGTAAGGCCTAAGTCCTAGCTCTGTGGGCAGTGCCACAGAAGGGGCGCATCCCCGGAGGGGGCGGTGTGGGAGCCAGGATCAGAAAGTTCAGAAAGTCTTGGGAGGCAACAAGGGCTTGGTTTGGAGGCAGGGGGGCGGCTCCGAGAAGGCTAGGTAGAACTATATATAGATTGGTAGCCTTCCAAGTCGGGGTTCCTCGCGGCACCTGTGGGCCCTCTTAAAATGCACCTGAGACACTATATGTGTGCTTTTGAAACATGTGCTTCCTACATGTTTGATTTGAACCTACATTAACGTCTGATAGCATGGCCTCAGTCATTGATCGGTGTTTCGACGAGAGACTCGGATTGTGGGAGGGGGATGGGGCAGAGTCCAACACCAACAGAGGGCTGGGCAGGTTGTACATGGCAAAAGGCCCCTGGCTGAGGAGGCAAGCGGGGGCTGAACCAGCCCCCGTTCCAGCGGCCACACCTGTGTCCACGGGGCTGCATCTGCTCCAAGGGGAGGCTTTTTCTCATGGGCACGACAGTGCCATGTAAGCAACCAGCAGCGGCCTTGACAATATCTACTTCTGAAACCTCAAGGGCCTGGGTGGGCCGAGCAGCTGAGAACCTGTCCCTCTTTATGTCCCTTCTGTCACCCTCATGATCAGGGACCTACGGGGCAACTCACTCAACTGTGACTGCAAGGTGAAGTGGCTGGTGGAGTGGCTGGCACACACCAACACCACGGTGGCCCCCATCTATTGCACCAGCCCACCCCGCTTCCAAGAGCACAAAGTGCAGGATTTGCCACTGCGGGAGTTTGACTGCATCACCACAGGTGGGAGCAGCCCCTGCCTCGGGGCTCACGCTGGGCCTCGCCCAGGCAGCTCCACAAGCATCGCCTGAGCCCCCAGCCCCCTACCTTGCCTGAGAAGCGACCTTACCACCAAAAACACTCCTGCTCTTCTTCCTTCCTACCCCACCCCCATCCCTGCAGATTTTGTGCTGTACCAGACCTTGTCCTTCCCAGCGGTGTCAGCGGAGCCCTTCCTTTACTCCAGCGACCTCTACGTGGCTCTGGCCCAGCCAGGTGCCAGCGCTTGCACTGTCCTCAAGTGGGACTATGTTGAACGGCAGCTTCGAGATTATGATAAGATTCCAGGTATCTGTATCCAGCCTGGCTGTTCTGGCCCCAGCTAAGGAGAGTTGGGGTGGAGGTCAGCGAGGGGAGAGGGACAGATGAGACATGGCCTGTGTTCGTAAGAACGTCCTAGTCTTTGGAGGGAGGCTGATACATGCACAGATAACATCCATATAATAGTAGCTGCTACGAAGGAGATATGAGCACGATGCAGTGGGAACACAAAGGAGAGGCCTACCCAGGGCAATCAAGGAAGGCCTCTTGGTGGAGGGGAAGCTTACACTGAGTCTTGAAGGATGACAGAGAGGAGGGAATCAGAGGTGATGCCCAAATTCCTGGCTTAAGTATCTGGGTGGTGCCATTGAACTTAAAAGGAGGAGATACTGAGTTTAAGATGAGTCTAGAAGGCTGAAGGGGACTTAGCTAGGAGAAAAAATATGGAAAGGATGTTTTGGCGGAGGGAGCAGCATCAACAAAGTCAATAAGGTATGCGACAGCTTATCGTGTGAGTGCAGGCATGGGTACATCATAAGCAGCTTATTTGGCTATAGCATGAGGTCCAAGGTGGACAGTGGCAGGCCCGAGAGAGATGAGGACCAGGTCAGTGATGAGCTTTGAGAAAGTGTGCGAGCCAATCCGATCTACGCTCGAGACGACTCCCGCTGCGAACTCTGCGGAGCACGGCTAGGCATGGGGCCAGGCATGTGGGCAGGCCAGCAGGGGAGCCAGCTGGAGCCTGGACTGAGGCAGCAGCCGTGGGGGTGGAGAATTATATTTAGAAAAGAGGATTGAACTGACACAAGAGGAGACAGAAAATTGAAATCGCCCTTTATCTATGAAAGAACTTGAAGTCGTTACTACCACCCGCCCCCCATAAGACTCCGGATCCAAATGGCTTCTCTGGTGAATTCTAGCAAACACTTAAGGAAGAAATAACACCCATCTTACACAAACTGTGCTATCAATAGAAAGCAGGAGGGAGGGTTGACAGAGCTTGGGGACTGATCAGCTATGGGTGAGAGGCGGCCGGGAGGTGCTGGGGACGGCTCCCAGCTTTCCGGATGGGACGACTGGGTGGAGCCACGAACTGTATGAAGAACACAGGAGGAGGAGCAGGTGTGGGAAGGAGCTCAGCTCTGGCCAGCTGGAGTTTGAGGTGCTTGCGGGGCTCGGGCAGAGAGAGTCTGACTGACCCACGGTGGCTCTGGAGCCGGGCAGGCCGACCAAGGCCGCCCCGGGGACTCAGGCAGTGACTGTCAGAGGCTGAGGCTGTGTGTGGGCTTCCCCTCGGGAGAGGCGGGGTGATGCGGGGCAGGAGGGTGGATGGAAGCAGTGACTGGAAGCACCAGGACAGGTGAGGAGCGTGGTCCCATACGCTTTGGGTGCCTGGGAACAGGTCAGATCGATTTGGTTGGGCACAAGTACATTTGTTTTCATACATAAAACCTTTCAAAACTGGGATTTCTTGGGAGGATGTGTTCTCATATTCAACCTCCAGATACCAAGCTGTCGGTTTGCCCCCGGCTGCGGATGAACTCAACTCTCCCTCCTTCCCCTACCTGGCTGCTCGCCAGCGGGGAGCTCTGGGCGAGTCACTTAGATACTGAGCCTCAGTTTCCTTTCATGTGAAATGGCAAAATAATAGGATGTGTTTCAGAGTGATTAATTGGGGCAGTGTGCTCACCCTTAGCACACTGACTGCACACAAGCTAAATTCAATAACTGATACTGTGGTTAAACAGTCAGTTGATATCTAGGGACACTTATTTTGTGCTCGGGGTCAGCTTATATTTGAACCCTGGGGACAAGGGTGGATGCCCAGGGCAGGAGGGGCCTGACCCTCTCCTCTGAGGCTGGGCAGGGGCACGAAGCCACCTGTGCCGCTTGACGCTACCTCCCTGCTCCCCGCAGCCCCCTCGGCCGTGCACTGCAAGCCCATGGTGGTGGACAGCCAGCTGTACGTGGTGGTAGCCCAGCTGTTCGGCGGTTCTTACATTTACCACTGGGACCCCAACACCACACGCTTCACCAAGCTGCAGGACATCGACCCGCAGCGCGTGCGCAAGCCCAATGACCTGGAGGCCTTTCGCATCGACGGCGACTGGTACTTTGCCGTGGCCGACAGCTCCAAGGCGGGCGCCACCAGCCTCTACCGCTGGCACCAGAATGGCTTCTACTCCCACCAGGCCCTGCACCCCTGGCACCGTGATACCGACCTGGAGTTTGTGGACGGCGAGGGCAAGCCACGGCTGATTGTGTCGAGCAGCTCCCAGGCGCCAGTCATCTATCAGTGGAGTCGCACCCAGAAGCAGTTTGTGGCCCAGGGTGAGATTTCTCAGGTACCTGACGCCCAGGCTGTGAAACACTTCCGTGCTGGACGGGACAGCTACCTGTGCCTCAGCCGCTACATAGGGGACTCCAAGATCCTGCGCTGGGAGGGCACCCGCTTCTCCGAGGTGCAGGCCCTGCCCTCCCGGGGCTCGCTGGCCCTGCAGCCCTTCCTCGTGGGTGGCCGCCGCTACCTGGCACTGGGCAGCGACTTCTCCTTCACCCAGGTCTACCAGTGGGATGAGGGGCGGCAGAAGTTCGTCCGGTTCCAGGAGCTGGCTGTGCAGGCCCCTCGGGCCTTCTGCTACATGCCTGCGGGGGACGCCCAGCTGCTCCTGGCCCCCAGCTTCAAGGGACAGACACTTGTGTACCGACACGTGGTGGTGGATCTCAGTGCCTAGCGGGATGCCGAGGCCTCTGGGTCGAGGCTGAGGGGAGGCTCTGCGTGAGCAGCACGTGTGCCCGGGTGAGGACGCGTGCAGCTAACCTCGCGCACACACTCCTGGTGAGCAGGGGCACCACTTGGACTGGCCCCAGAAGCCGCTCGTCACAGTTGTAATCGGCATGAGGACCCGTATATGCGCCAGGCAACCCAGAGCCCGGGGCCCTCCCATCTGTGGACACCCGTGGACTCCACACCGCATCTACAGGCCCCCTTATCTGCTGCCTTCCACAAGCTCTGGCCTTGGGAGGGGGAGGGATGCTGCGAGGGGGGGTCTTGGGCTGATCTTTCTGACCCTCTGGTCTCTCCTCGTCGGTGCTCCAGAGGTCCACTTAACCTCCTCACGCCCCACGAGGCAGCCACGACCACATCCTTCGCACTGCGGGTATGCTCACCCACCCTCCGCTCCTCCTGCATGTACACGTGGGATCCGGCCCACGCCCTCAGTCACACGCACGCACACCTGTCCACACCCCCCGTTTCCTAGTGTGCACATGGAGATCCAGCGCTGCCAAAAGGGGCTCCCCGCCGTGACCTGGCCTCACACAGTACCGCCCTCCTCCGCTCATCCCTGGTGTGCCCGCCCTGCCTCTGGGCACCAGCTTGACTTCCTGGGGGCAAAGCCCCTCTGCCCGAAGCAATAACAACAGCAGCCCTGGCAGACCCGACTTCCTCCCTCCCTGCGCTGCCTCTGTCCTCACCGGGGTTTTCTGCTCTGACCCTGTGACCATGGACCACCCAGATAAAAGCCTTCCTGTCTTCCTGTCCTGTGGCTGCCCCAGCCTAGGCCCCTGCCCGCGCCCCCTGGTCCAGCACCTCCTTTGGGCTGTGGCCCCCGTGCTGCACAGCCTCGGGCTGGGTCCCAGAGCTGGCCCGGCCGAGGACCCTGCGAGCACTCAGGGCCTCTGGGCAGGTGCAGGAGCAGAGCTGGGCTGCAGAGCACCTGGGGGGCTCTGGCGCCCCTCCAGTCCACAGACACACACCCCAGGGGCTCGGCCTTGAGGGCAAACTGAGGGGGAGAGGGCTGAGGCCTGGAGGAGGGGCGCCGGGAGCCGAGCTTCTGCTGCCCTCTGCTGTAAGCTGGGGACAGACAGTCGCAAGGAAGGAGGCGGGTGCAGAAGACCTGGGAGGGGAGCTTCTTCCTTGAGTCCAGACTGTGTGTGGGGCTTCTGGTGGCTTAATGCTGGGGCGGGGGTGGGGCACTGGAGGGCAGGGCTATAATTCACTGCTTTAAATAAAAAGTTCCCACCCCATTGCCGGCTCTCAGGTGTCCAGAGGCAACGGCCAGAGGTAGCTGTTTCATGAAGAACGGAACATGCTGCCTGTCCCTCCTGCTGTCAGGGGCCAATGTCAGCTCTCGGATCCCGTTCCTGCCTGCTCCCTTCCCTCCCAGGAGGGCATGGACACCCGCAAGGCCAGCTGGGGCTGGGGTCAGGAGTTCGTGGTGATGACACTCGGGGGCTGGGTGAGTGGGGCTAGTCTCCAGCACCTGGGGCTGATTCACCGCCCAAGTGTTCCGTCCTGGAGACCACAGTCTTGGGGCCAATGGAGTCTGTCCCTCCGTCAGGTCAATTCCAATCAACATGGCCAAAGACAAGCTCAGCAGCGCCTCCCCTCCTCACCCCTCTCCCGGGTGAACGTCAGCCATCGCTGCCACCCCTGCCCTGGGTGGGGGATTGCAAGCAAGCAGGCCGATTCCTGGAGCCCGAGCTGCTTTGGCAACACAGATGAGAAATCCTACTTCGTTGCATCCTGATTCCGCCACTTACTCGCTGGGTGACCTCAAACACATTACTTAGCCTATTTGTATTTGTTTCCTTATCTGTAAAATGCAGATAGTCCTGTTACCTAGCTGGCAGGGTTAGTGTGAGATTTAAATGCACACAATATCCAGTCTAGTAATACATGCAAGGCCCTAGGAAGAATGTGTCTGCCACAATTTTTATTGGTCTGTAGGACTATATGAGGCCCAGGTGGCTCAGGGAGGGCTGCTCTGTGGGAGAGGAGGAGGGTGCCTTTTGGGGAAGACTGACACCCTTGGTCTCAAGGCCCCTGTACCTCACATCTTACCTGTGGCCTCAGAGGCCCAACCAGCCCTGGCCCCAGCTACTCCTCACAGTGGGGAAGCTCGCAGGTGATGTGTCTGGGTTTGCACCTCCCCAAATCACTGTCATGCGCTCTTGGTTTAGCAGGCGCCCCTCAGGTCCCCCAGCCACACTGTCTTGGGAACGTTCGTCCTGCTTTTTCACATGGGGAACGGGCCCCCATGCCGCGCCAGGGACAGGTTGCCAGGCAGAGTGTGCCGAGCCTCCCAGACCCATTGGCACCCTGTTGCCCAGTAGAAAGATAAACACCACGCTGTCATCCCTCACCCTCCCAGGGCTCCTCCCAAGAACTCCCAAGAATGGAGACCCTTTTCTCCCTGAATGTCCAGCTCTCTACACCTGCCCCGGGGTCATCTGTGTGTCCAGAGAGCTGCTTAGCAACCCAGTGTGACTGGGTGATTATGTCAACAGCTCAGGATCAAAGGCCGTGAGAGGCAGAGTCCACTCCCCCTGCCAAAGCTGAGGAGGTGACCCCCAGCTGCCAGCCTCATGCCCCTCCACGCCGAGCCCTTCTCTCAGCAGCAGGCTTCTCGCATCTTGGCCCCTGGATTCCCCCAGGCATCAATGCCAGGAGCCCCCATGTGAGAGACCGCCCCAGCTGGCAGGGCTTGGAGTGGGCGAGCGGGGGCGCAGAGAGGTGTGTGATGCTGAGGTCACATGCGTGACCTGGAGGGCGGCTGCAGGAGAGAAGGCTGCTCGTCAGCAGGCACAGAGAGCCCGAGACTCACATGCGCTCAGGCAGCCCGGGCACCCTTCCCTCCTGAAGCATGGACATCTCTTCCCTCCCCTGCAGCTCCCACCCTTTCCCTGCTGCCCCTGAGCGGATCCCCTGTTGAGTCGGTCACATCCTCCCTCTCCAACGAGTGTGCCTAGAGGGGGACGGTGGGATCCCAGCCGTTGGCGTTTCTCGTCCTTCAGTGCAGGGTGGGAGCCAGGCCCAGGGCGAGGGGGTGGCGAGGCGAGGAGAGACAGCAGGGCCTCGGGGGAGCTTCCCCGTGGGCTGGTTTCACTGCTGGCTCTCACACCCAGCCACACCAATAAAAATGATGATAATAATTAAGTATAATCACAATATGTTTTCATTGATTTATTTATTCCCAAGATGCCTCCTTCCCTGGCCCCCCATCATTACGTAGTTCATCCTGTTGAGGGGCAGTGGGCGTTAAATGCGGCTCTAATAAAAAGTAATAACTGCCCATTTCCCACCCCCACAGCTCTGTTGTCGCCCAGCGCAGGGTGGGAGGACGCGGTGTTACCCAGTTTCAGAGGGGAGAGGAGGCGCGAAACAGGAGAGGTGCTCAGAAGGCAGCCCCAGGTGGAAAGTCGTAGAAGCAGCACTTTGCCTTTTCTTTTGAGCCTTCCACCTTCTTTCAGGTATACACCTTCTTCCAGGTATGCACATCCTTCCCAGACGAGCCTCTTCATCCACTGTCCCCTCCCAAAGCCACCTGTAGAAGAGTGGTCCAGCCAAGCATTTACCCACCTGCCACCAGGTGACGTTGGGCAAGTAACTTTTCATCACTGAGAGTATTTCCTAAATGGTTAAATAAATAAGTAAGTAAGTAAGTAAAAGGATCTTCGTAAAGATCAGGACCCCACACACAAAACCACACTACAAAATGGCAATGTGATATTAAGCTCTCAAGGATATTTGTGTTCTTAGCTCAAAGGAATAGGTGGGATTTCAAACTTCTGGTGAAGAAGGCATGGGGGCTGGGGGTCCTGCCCAGAATCTCCCAAATCGTCGTGGTCAGCCTGCCCAGTCCTGAGGGCTCTGACAAGGTACGCAGACAGAAGTCAGCAGATGGGGGTGAGGGGTCCCTCAGGTTCCCTCTCCCCATTTCCTCCCCGCTTTCCCTCCAGTCAGCTCGGCATCTTTGAGGCCATCCTGAGCTCTTGACCTGGTGGAGTATGACCCGGATTTGCTGGTGCCCAGCTAAGCCTCCTTCCAGCTTGTGCCTGAGCCTCGAGGGGGACCTCCATCACCTCGTGCCCGCTCCCATTTTACAGAGTAGAAACGAGGCAACGGGGGAAGCCCGTGTCGAGCCTCGGAAACTCCAAATATCCTTCAAATATCCTTCGCTTCTTCCACACTCCCCTCCCCCATCCCACCTGTTTGTTGCCGCGTCCCACCCCCTCATATGTCCGATATGCCAGCTGCTTACCTACCCGGCCCCACAACCCCACGTCCTAGACTCCACGCCCCTTAAGGTGCCTGCCGCCTGCTCCCGGACCTTGCCCCGCCCCGTTCGAGGCCTCACTGCGCCTGCGCCACGCGCCGGAGCCCTGGGGTTGGGCAGACCCAAGTTCCGTGCAACTTTCAAGTGAGTTGCAAACTCCGCCCCGAGGCTGGTGCCCGCGGCCTGGCGACCAGAGACCCGGACACTCGCACGAGCGAAGGCCACGACCCGCCTTTCGGGCCCGGGACACGCAGCGGCGCCGCGGCAAGGGTCGAACTCCTGGTTCTCCGCGACAGGAAGCGCAGATCGGAGCCTCAACTGCCTGGACAGCGCGGCGTGGCGGAAGAGTGCGCCTTCCGGCACTGGCGGCGAGTCGGGGCCTCAGTGCCCCCGCCTCCTGGCCCCGGCCGCCTGGTCTACTGACACTGCGGAGTCAGGGGCGGCGGGTTCCGACTCTGCCACGCGGCGGGACGAGCGCTTGTCTGGTTCCCGCACTTCCGCTGATTCCCCCGTTGCAGCCCCGCGTGAGCGTCTCTCTGGGCGTCTTGGGGGGTCTCCCTTCGTCCCTGAGACTGCAGGATGGTGTCCAGGATGATCTGTAGCCTGGTGGTGTGAGTATGGTGGCTCTCACACCCTCTCTCCCCGAGTGCCAGCCCGCTGCCCCTGGGGTGGAGACCGGGAACGTCTAGTGGGAATGGGAAAGGGGACTTTCTGAGCTCCGTCACATCAGCTCCCTCCCGCCCCCCGCCCCCAACACTCGGCGCAATAGTTAACGGATCTGCGGGACTGCACGCGGCTTCGAGCGCCGCGGGTTTATCGCCCCAGCCCCTAAAGCCCCTTTGACCGATGGCGACCCCTCTAGCGCTCCCACACACTGCAGACAGGTGCGTGGGGTGGAGGACCACAGGCTGGCTCTAAGCCCCTTGGCCAACACAAGGTGTTGTGGCATGTTGTGGGCGGAGAATCCAGGTGCCTTCTTCCCATCTGAGCAGTCACATGACTCACCACCCTGGCCTCTCCTTCCTGTGTCCTACCCATCACCTTTCAATATACTTCAGTACCTGGCTTGAAAATCCCTGTCTGCAGCCCAGCAGTGCCAGGTCTGGTGGCCCTGGGCCTGATTGCATGTCCATGGGAGGGGGCAGCCTGGTGCTCTCACCAGCTCAGAAGCCTGCCTTGCACCCACCCCCCCACCCACCGTGTTCAGTAGCTGTGTGTGCCCATGCACCCATGGGCCACTGGACAGGCCTGGACAGGCTGTGGATGTTTGTAAACAGCAGGGTGGGGAGGCGGCCTCCAGGGCACTGACTCAGATGCAGGTTGTGCAAGCCAAGCGGGAAGAACAGGGTAGGCACTGTCACCTCGGACCCGTGGGGGAGGTGGCTGCCAGTGGGGGGCAGGGCATGGTGCCCCTCACACCCCCGCATCCCCCGTTGTTCTGGCTTCTCTTCCAGGCTGGTATTTGGGATGCTGTACCCGGCTTATGCTTCCTACAAGGCTGTGAAGACCAAGAACATTCGTGAATATGTGAGTGTGGCAGTTGGCTAGGGTGTGGCGGGGTGACAGCCTTGGGGGGTATGGCAGGGCTTGGGGAGGTGGGGAGGGTCGGAACTGGCTGGCAGATCCTGAGTGGAATGAGTGTGGACGGAGGGTGAGCTGTAGAGGTGCCTGTGCAGGGACTTGTGTGTAAAGCCCACTGGGGCTGGGTGCAGGAACGAGTGGCAGCTCTCTAGGGCCATCCAGGTGCCAGGGGAATGCAGCGGGACAGGCTCTCTGGCATCTCGGGGCTGGGTCAGGCAAGGACAGGGGAGCTGCTCTGCAGGCTCAGCCTCTGACCTCTCCGCATGCCCCCTTCCCCCGCCCCAGGTCCGGTGGATGATGTACTGGATCGTCTTTG